GCTTGAAAAGGTATGGACTACACTAGGCTTGGGATCACTCTTGGTTTTAATGACCTCTACTAGATTTTCTATAAAGTCAAATTTTTAAAGGCTTACTTAATTTTGGCATTGTCTTCCTCACTAGGACATGGTTTTAGGTGGTCATTAAAATAAGGTCTAGCATATTTCACATAATGCTCGGTTACCTCAATAGTATTGGACTCCCACCTGCGAAGGAAAAAACAAATCCTGAAAAAAACCTATGCAAATGAAGTTAGTTTGTAAACAACTTAAGGAAACAAAAGCAAGGCAAGTTAGTACTATCATAACAAAAGTTCACTAAGTGTGAACCAATCTATAAAAGAGTACGGTGAAGGATGATATTAGCCTAAGATTCTTTACACATAATCCTTGACAACAGCACCAAAACCTACTTGGACAAACTCTGCAAGTGTATAGGACTTACGAGTAATAATAGTGACCAAAAGGTTAAAATGTCAATCCCACAAGGATTAGCTAAAAAAATTCTTAAACTAAATACTTTTATCCTGATACCTTTCTAAAGTTGGCTTGATAAAAAATTGCTATGAAATAAGCATGAATTAAAATGTGATTTTAACTAAGAATTGAAAATAACAAGTAAAAATTGAAAAGAAAAATAATAACTAAAGTATGTAACTAAGAAATTAGAAATGAAGTAAACTAAACAAGAAATAAGGGGTAAAAACAGTAACTAGATCTAAGTGAAAACATATTTAAAGTGAGCATTAAAAGCAAAAAAAATAAAAAATTACACTAAGCCAAAACAACTACAAGTCATATGTAAATTGAATACAAAGTATCCATACTACCATAATTACACTTAAGCTAATTTGCAACCAATTTTAATAGAATCAAGCTTATATTTGTAAAAATCAATATTTGTCTAAACCAAAAAGTGATTTGAAATGCAAAGTTTTAAATAAAAAATGCAGAATGTAAGTAAGAAGTTATAAACCAAAAATTAAAGAACAAGCTGGAAACTGATTTTCAACAAGAGTGTCTAACTTTAAATCATGCAAGATCAAATGATTATCAGCAGTAAATTGAAAGAACACTAAACGAACAATATGAGAATTCAAATTGAAGAATAAAAAGTAAAGAAAAATTGCAAGATTCAACAAAAAAAAAAATGGAAACCAAAACTGATTTTGTAAGTTGGAAACTAACAATTCATAGAAGAAAATTAGATCTACAATTCTCTAGTGGGAATAAACTCAAAATTAAGCTAAAGCAACCTAGATCAATGACTTAACTACCTAAATCAATAAGAAAATAACATGAATCAATAAAAAAATCAGCTCAATGAATTCAAATTCAAAAGCAATGTAGAATCTAGAAAAACAGAACCTCATCAAAAAAATTAACCAAACAGCACCAAAAAGCATGAAATAAAATGGTACAAAATTATTCTAAGAAAGATAACTAATAGAACTAAAGATCTAAAGAAGAATGCAAAAAGATCACCAAAGAGGAGAAAGATTCCATGCCAAAATGGTTGCTCAAAATTAGATCTACACTATCACTTACATCTAGCTGGAATTTCCAAGCTTGACTTAAAACATTGTGGTGCGAGTTTGAAATTGAATTTCTACTATGCTGTAACTAATAGCTAAATGAATTAGGAAACTATAAAAAAAGATTGGAGCAAAAACAATGAAGATTTGATAGAGTTATGATATGAAAACCTCAAGTAGGTTAAATTTGGTAGATTCAAAAACATATTTGCATATAAACAAGAAATCAATATATTTAAGTTAGAAAATGAATTCAAATGGAAATTTATTGAAAGATTTTGAAAAAGCACTAAAAAAAATTAAAAGAAAATAAAACTGCAATGAAATTCAAAGGAAACATGTTAGAAAAACAATGTTGGGCAAATAAGAAAATGTAAAGTGCAAAAAAGAAAGTGCAGGAAAATAAAGAAAAAAAATTTAAATCCTAAACTAACTCCTTTCTTATGGCCAGCCCTCTCCCCTTATCTATAGGTTAAAGGGAGGAGCTTCAAGTCTAAAAAATTCATGAAAGATCTCCAATTGGCTGGGCATTTCTGGATCCTTCTTTTTTTAGTGGTGCACACTAGTGCCGTTGATGCTTTGGCTTGGTTATTTGGCACCTACTTCTTCAACAAATTTGCCAACTAATTTCATGTGTGCTTGCTGCTTCAAAAAGTGAATTTAATGACCAATCAAAACTTCCCAAAATGCCACATAAGCTTTTCTCTTTGGTGCACTCCAACCAGCTTGTAATGCCATACATCCATGCACACGTCCATGCATTTTTCATTCATCATTCATTTTTTTGCTTTTTTTTCTGCAAAAAATTTTCAAATATTCTATGAATATTTTTATAACACATTTTACTAAAAAAATGATTATGAAAATAATACTAAAAAATTATGCTAGAAAAGTTAAGAAAATTCCCTAAGTGTCAAATTTGCTTATTGACATTAGTTTAGGCGATTTGCACAATTTGCATAAAAAATCTTTCAAATTTGAATAAAAATGTCAAAAATTCCTTAATTCCAATATTTGAGATAAATGTACATTTAAGAGTAATTTTGCCAAAAATACCAAGGGATAAGCCAAAATATATGAAAAGTTGCACTAAAAATGAGCATGAAAATGATAAAATTTTAGTGCAATCACTCGGGCATTTTCCTCAATTTGTTTTTGGCCCTCAACTGACATTAAATTTAACTAGTAGGATGCTTGACAGTAGTCCTTCCTACAATGACAGAGGGAACCTGATCATCCAAACAAAAAGCCTCATAACCAAGTTGACCTATCCTTATCTCTACCCTAAAGTTATCAAATATGCTAGAATTAAAAGGCATAATGAAAAGGAAAAAAAAATGTACTAAAGAGTTTGAGAAGAAATGTCAGATAAAAGAAGGCTAAAAGTTTTGGAGGTTAACCCATGAGTTGAAAGACTAGTTGGTAAAAATCTGGATCCCTAGAAGACCCTTTATATAAGCAAGGTTCTTGATTAGATAAATGCCTCATATTATGCCATGTCACCATAACAGTTACCGATGATGACCCTTTGCATTCTTAGCCTTAATTCATTTAATCGTCGTAATTTCTCTCATCGATAAATGCAAATTTAGATACATATGCACAAAGGGCATATTGGACATTTTCCATTACTGTGCTGCATCAACTATACACTTGCAATACATCAAACCAAATGTGATCCACTATAAAAGAAAATTCGAAAAGTGTCATGTCAATCACCAATACTAGGAAACAACAAACCAATCATGAATATTGTAAGTACTAGAGTACATTGGTTACACAATCACAAACCAAAGTAAACATTAATATTGTGTTTACATTGTACAACTATTTAATGAAATTTTTCAAAAGCCAATGGTTAATTAATAGCTCAATGATAATAAGTACATATTAGGTCATTCAGTTTCATAACCATCAGTCTGACACTTTAGACTGTTCAGTAGGGGGACCGAATGTTAAGAGGTATTTTTAGGTCCAAAGGGCAAAATAAACATTTTTTTCATTAATGTAAGTCAACAAACAACAAGGTGATATTTGATCATTTTGATCGAGATGACATGTCATGTTGTCTTGAATTCGCAAGTCCACAATAACTCGGCAATCACTAGGATGTTGACTTATCATGCCTTAATTAAACAATTAACTATTAGCTCAACTCGGGCCTACTAGGTCATTTCTAGCCCTTATGGCTAACTTCAAGCAGTCTAGGCTGCCTTAAACCCCTCATTTCACAAGTAAAAATAGCATAATTCAAATACCCTTTAACCATCTTGCTTTTATCACCTTCTTTCTATCTCTTTCCTATTCCTTTCTTAAACCAACTACTGACTTGAGCATCGAAGCATAAACGTTGGGACTACCTCCAACTTTTATTGTTAACTGCTTTTCTTTTCTCTCTCTTATGATTTTAGAGTTTTACCCTTTTGAAATAGTTTGGCACAAACGAATACTTATTTCAAATTTAAAGTTTTATTGAGAAAATTAAATATTTAATTTAACTTATATTAAGTTTACATTGTTGTGATTTAAAACTTATGGCATGCCTCTTAATTTTAAGAATTTACAAGTAATGATATTTGAGTATAATAAACAAACAAATATCTAAATGATTTGAAAATCTCTTAAATTGTAATGCATAGATTAGATAATAAAGCCACAAAAAATTCATAATTTTAATTTAAAGTTCAATTTAAATGTATTTAATATAAATATAAATACATTTACTAAGAAAGTAAGAGGTTTTTAAGAAATTTTGAGGGCCAAGCCCCTTTTGATTCCTATTACTCACCGCCCCTAGACTTAGGTACATAAGACTTGACCATTTTCCTCCATTATAAGTTTTTACACACATTTCACCCTTTTTTTTAAACTCTAAACACCTTATTGAGTTGAATGCATAGATTAGATAATAAAGCCACAAAAAATTCATAATTTTAATTTAAAGTTCAATTTAAATGTATTTAATATAAATAGAGGTTTTTAAGAAATTTTGGGGGCAAGCCCCTTTTGATTCCTATTACTCACCGCCCCTAGACTTAGGTACATAAGACTTGACCATTTCCCTCCATTATAAATTTTTACACACATTTCACCTTTTTTTTTAAACTCTAAACACCTTACTGAGTTGAACATAAGAATACGTTTTAAAAAATTAACTCCAACGCTCTTTGACCATGTTTTTTAGTTATAGATTGAAGTTACCTCACCTTTAACCTCCAACTAATTTCTCTCCACCTAAGACATCTAAAAATACTCTCAACAACTCAATATTTAAAAGGACAAGTAAATTGGATTCGTAAAAAGAAAGAGTGAAAAGTGAGGAGGGTGCTAGGTAATCGCGTGTGATAGCCAAAAAAACCGAAAGCAACGGCATGCACATGTGGCGAAGACAAACAAGGACCGGGTGGTTTGGATTCAATTTCGTCGTTTTGGCGTTGAAACCGTCGGATCAAAATCCAAAAAATCCAAGGGTGGAGATAAAAACCCTAAGGCATAAACACTGGAGCTTGCTGGCTGGGTTCTAAAAAACCCCTAATTTTTCATCCATTCCTTCCTTGCAGTCGCGCTCTCCAATCTCATACTCACACTGATAAAGGTTCAATGCTTAATCCGCCGTTTCTTTTGTAAAGAAGTTGGTACTTAAATTTTATAAAAGAAGTTGTTGCTTTCTGCTCTTTCTGTCAGTTTTTGATCATGGGGATTTTGTCTTTAGATCTGGTAACTGGGATTGTTTTGGTTTTGGTTTATTCATGGGAATTTATTGATGATTTTTTTTAGGGGATTTTTTTAAAAAAATTTTTGGTTTCAATCTTTTTTATTTTATTGGAGATGAGGAAGGTGGTTTAATAAGTTTAGTTAGGAGCTAATTTGCTTATTGTAATTTTCTTTTCTTATTTTACTTTAATTGCTGTAATATTAGTGGCAACAAAACTTTATGGCTATGTCACATGTTTGCTGAGATTTTCATGCCTATTGTATCTTCTATTGTTTCTTATGTGTGAGTACCTTGGTTCTCGCTTGATGTAATATTCTTGTTTACCCACTTTCTGTGTACTACTGTGGGCAGATGAATGTGGAGAGGCTCATGAAGATGGCTGGTGCAGTCCGCACTGGCGGAAAGGGTAGCATGAGAAGGTATGTTCATGGATTGGAGTTTCCTTAGATAGGATAGCTATATGATGTTTATTGGTTGATTATCTCCAAAAATGTTGAGGTAAGTGTTCAGTTAATTGGGAGAGACTCTTGAATCAAGTTTTTGCCTTTCGCGCAATATTTTATTTATCTGTTCGTGTTAGTTGTTCATAACTTCAATTCATTTGAAGTATAAGCCATTTAGATAAGTGCTTGAATTTTGATGTCTCTTTATAGTTTGCATGTTAATCATTATCTTGTTGTGTTAACAGAAAGAAGAAGGCTATCCACAAGACAACTACCACTGATGACAAACGGCTACAGAGCACCCTCAAGAGAATAGGAGTGAATGCCATCCCTGCAATTGAGGAAGTCAACATATTCAAGGATGATGTTGTTATCCAGTTTATTAATCCAAAAGGTAGATATTGCTTTCTTGAAGTGGACCTTTAATTTATTCAAATGTTTCCCATAATAAACTAAAATGTGACTGTCTATATTTCAGTTCAAGCTTCTATTGCTGCCAACACATGGGTTGTTAGCGGTTCCCCTCAGACAAAGAGTATACCTCTCTTAACTTTAAAGCCTCTAAAAATTGAACAAATCTCATTGCTATTACCCTTTGAAGATTTGGTTTTATTAACTCCAAAGGCATTAAAGACTAGGGGTTTTGTCTCAGCCACTATGCACTTTTCCTTAGTTTTTTAACTTTGTTATTTTGACATGTGCTTTTTTCCCCTATTCCAGAATTGCAGGATATTCTCCCCGGAATCATCAATCAATTGGGTATGCGCTATTCGCCCTGTTTAGTTCTCTTTTTTGTCATTGTTTCCAGATTGCTAATTGATATCAAGATTTGACCCTTATGCTAAAAATTTTAGGGCCAGATAACTTGGATAACTTGAGGAAATTGGCAGAGCAATTCCAGAAGCAGGCACCTACTACTGGTGCTGGCGCAACCACCTCTCAAGAAGAGGATGATGATGATGTACCAGAACTTGTGGCTGGTGAGACCTTTGAAGCTGCAGCAGAAGAAGGCCAGGCTGCTAAATAGTGTTTTTAGACAAATTTTTGTTTTGTGTTATTTTATATGTTTTTGATGAATTGCTTTAGTTTCTTTTTCCTAATTACTCTGGAACTCTACTCTTTTGGCTCAGAGCCAGTCTTAAATTTCTATAATTCCTGTTATTTTTGACTTGGTACCAATAGAGTTGTGTGTCGTTGGCTTCCTCCCCAAACACAAATAGATGGTCTGGGAACACTCGATGTATGCAGTATATCTTTCCTGCAAGAATTAAAAAATAGTCATATGAGCTTGTCGGTAGGTGATAACATTTTGTTCCATGCTAGTTATCCTCATATGTTCGAGTGGCAGGGCACTGTTTATGATGACTTGGCTTGATGCTACTGTTTACTGAGGTCTTTTACATGAGTGTTAACTTTTTTCTTTTGCCACAAAATAGATTAGAACGGCTCATTTGCCGATTGATAGCCTATTTTAGTCGTTTACTAAAGTTTCCCAATTAGATGACGTGTCTTTGACAAAAAAAAAAAACAAAAAGCCTTTCAAGGTCCAACCAGTCCTTTACTACTTTAAGAGCTACTTTGGATCACTGATTAGCGCCAGTAAAGCGCAGTTTTCTCTGGTGATATTTAATTTTGTTTGAGGTTTTACTGTTGACATTTAATTTTGTCTTAGTAAAATTTTGATAATTTGTGAAGTGTTTAAAATTTAATTTGGTTTAAATTTAATATTTTTTTAATTTTGAAAAAATTTTTAAATCAAAATTGGAACTAATATGACTTAAATATTTCAATATGAAACTTAGTCAAATAAAGTTAATCAAATAAAGTTAAAATAAATCAAAATAGTTAGAATTTAAATCAAAATTTGCAACCAAATTATGATCAATATTATTTTAAATTGAAATTCATGATTTTTAAAATATTAAAAATTTGATCACATTTTGGAGAGTAAAATTAGTGAAACACTCTTAAAAGCATTTTTATAATTTAATCTTTTCAAAATTAGATTTTCATGAAAATATTTAAATTATAATTAAATTTTTTTAATAATTTTTGGTACACTAAAAATTCAGATAACATATTGAGAGATATAAAATTATAAAATATCTTTAAATGTATTTTTATAATTTAATTTTTTCAAGATCAAAATTTCACGAAAAATTTCAGGTCATGATTTAATTACCAATTTAATAAATTACGAAGAATTGTTCTCTTTTCTCTTTCTTCAAGGGTTCTAAGGTTCTAGGTTGTATACCCTGCTAAAACTTAAGCCTAATATAGTATCAATTTCTTCAAGTTATTTTCCCTCAAATCGTATAGGTATCGTAATTGTGCTATCTTTCTTATAAAGGATCTTAACCCCAGGTGACAGGCTTTGCGGGACCGCCATCAAGCCTCGATCCACTCTTGGCTAAGCTCTTTGGACGGGGGTTTCTCGATCATAACTTTCAGAAAGAAAGAAAGAACGTATTATGAAACTAGAAACCGATAATGAAGAAAAATGAAACAAGAAGATTATTACTTACGATATTCTTATTCAACTTCTACGATTAGAATACTTTCATCCAAAATAAGAATTCTTAACCACAAAAATCCTAGAAACCATCCATTCTGGTTCTATATTTGTCTGAATAAAATGCTTAGCCAATTCCATGCGTCTAACCAAAAAACCCTTTCTTCTTCCAATTTTTTGATCTTCCCGTTCATTACCCATGAGGCCTTTTTCTCTTAATTCTTTCCATTCTACCAAGGAATAATTGATAAGAATTCACAAATCTAGATCGGCTAATTGTTCTTGAATAACACTTGCTTCAGTAGAAATTTCTCGATTTCGAAATGGTTAGAAACCTTTGGTAGTAAAAAAAAGTGGGATACAGTATTTCCATGATTGAATTTCATATTCGAATGAACCTCATAATCATAAGAAAGTAGGTTTTTTAGCGATGGGTCAAGCAAAAGCAAAATGAGGATAGGGCACCAAAAGATCTCTCCCCGCTTCAAAATCGGACATAAGTGTTTCCTCACATCTTGCCTAAGTAGTTAGACCAAATAGAGATAAAAAAGGGAGTTCTCGCTTTCAAATTGTAGAACTCCCCCTAAAAAAAAGGTCTACTCTTTACTCAAGTACAAAAGAAACATTTCATTGATTCATTCTTCTTTTAATTGATTTCTATTTTCAACATTCTTTATTCTTAAGACATAAATGAAATGTGAAATTCTTGAATAGTTTATTTCCCCTCGAATGATAAATCCGTTTAAATTAAAGTTGTATCATAAGGGATTTACTTGTCTATGTACACTTTCATTCGATCTTTTAGGCCCCTCTTCTTCGATTGGTTAGGTTCGCTCTTCCTTTCTAGGATAGGTTCTCTCTCCCTTTCTAGGATAGGTTCTCTCCCATTTTATGGTTTTTTTCTCTCTAGCATGGTACCGTACCTCTTCGTCTTTTCATGGTCTCTTCACAATGAGAAAGAAAGTTTGCCAAGTCTTGCTCTGGCTTGCCCAAAGCATTGAACATACAGAATGTTGACATTACATTACATATCCAGGCGGAAATGGCACACTACCGATCCAAGCCAGATAGGGTTTACGATACCGATAAGATGGATGAGACACGTGGTGATGGAAATCTTGAACGTTCTTGAGAATGAAATTCGCTGCTCCGTAATACAATTCGGCATTGTTTCATAACCCGTGTCATTTTTACAAGCCGAATTTACCCCTTTAGTAGATCGTGAGCGGGTCTGGTGAAGTTTGGGGAATCCTGTAATCATAGAAAACTTTTTGTCAACTAGATATGAATAGATACTGAAAGAAGAGGTTCGTAGATGCTTGACCAAAAGGAAAGGGATGAAGTGACTCGAACGTAAGCAAAAGGGACGAAGTGAGCGTAAGCGAGAGGTTTGAAAGGTAAGAGTTGAATACTGCAATCGATTCACTAAGCCAGATCGCTATTCCTGACTTGAGAATCCTTCTTTCCCCTTTCCTTCTCGATCCTTTTCTCATTTTCATCTTTCATGGGAGCTCTCTCTTCTCTTCTCTTCTCTTCTTTCTTGTTGAAGAACTTCGTACCTCCTCTCCTGTTCAACTATGGCTAATCTCTGCAAAGGTTCGCATGAATATGCTATTTCTTTTCCTTTATCTTGGCACTTGCCATTTCATGAGCTTCTGTTAGCTCTCCAGGTATCGATAGAACTTAGGGATTAACTTATTTAGAAGTTTTTCCGTTTCCTAGCCTTTGACTTGTTAGAAGAAAGTTCAATGTAAATGCGGTATTTTCACTCTTTCGAGATCGAAGAATAGCCAAAGCAAAGTCCTTTACAGAGGAGATTGATATGAACAGCAGAAAAGCATTAGAACTTGAAAGATGCCTTCTACACTGGCCAGGCAGTAAAATAGAAAAGGATTTTCCCTCGGAGTGGTAAGAAGCAAGGTGGGAAAGGTATAAGAGAAAGAAGTCAGTGTTGCTTTTGCTGTTACAGAATCTGGTCTTAGCTTAGCTGCTAGTTGAACTCAAGCCAGAAACCATTTGATGCTCTATAGCCAAGTGATTCTTTTAAACCTTTTTCGATCCCTAAACCTTTTATGAGATTTCTCATTTCTTTCAAAGTCAAATAGAGGAAATAGGGGCGGACTTGCCATCCAACTGGTCTCCCGAAGAGGTGACCCTAATGGTGATTGGGGAAGAGGTAGTGCTAGACCCCTCTTATCTGTCTGATGTCTATTCTAACCTTGTAGAGTGTGGATTTCAAGTTGCTATTGGGAATAGGCTTTTGAATATATAAAATTCATTTTTGGGGTTCTATAATTAGTTCAAATGTTTTCACATTTTCTTTCTTTTTTCTTTTATGCCCACAGGCCACCACATATCCTATCAAGCAATTGCATTGTTTGCCTTAATGATGTCCTTTCTGATCTTATTTGTATTCTCATAGAGCGTTTCCTCTTTCAAAGATGTGGCGGGTTAATCCCTGAAAATGCCCGTTCCTTTTTTCAGAATGATTTTCATTTTTTTTAATCTTGTACCCACAGTGCGGTACACTGAACACCAACCCAATAAAAAGACTTTCGTTTGAAACCTCTTACCTTCATCTACTTACCCAGCCAAGCAAGCACCGCATAAGGCGCGTTCTATGATCATAAACGAAATGAGTTAATCGAAACGTGATAATGGTTTAAATATTGAATTTGAACTTGAAATCATGTTCTTCAAGTAAAGGAGCAGGCAGATAATCAATGTAATTAGTTCTAATTAGTTTAAACAATAATAGCGGATTCAATTAGTAGAATGTGACACACAAAGCTAGAGCTGAGCTTTAAGCGCGAGAGGAGGGAAGGGTTCCCCCTTTAAGCATTACCATTCTTGAAATGCTGCTACTTTATCGGTCCCTCTAGTTTAGTTGGAATGCTATCGACGGATCTACACTTACTAGACGAATTCTTAAGGCACCGAAGAAGGACTATTCAAAGCATCGAGAAGAGGAATTTTGTTAACAGCTACACCCAATTTGAATGAGGATAGTGGAATTTCGTCCTAAGGAAAAGTCTTATGTAAGGAGATCTAAATTCTATTCTTTGTGGCCTAAGTGAAAGTATCTATTTCACTTTAAAAAAGAAAGCAGTCTCCACTAAATTCCCTCTTAGATACGGGTGGATGCGAAAAATACAGTCTTTGAAGGAAGAATAGAATAAGTTGTTGGGGTCCCGAACTCGCCTCTCATGGCGTTGGGCTAGCAACCCAAGTGTCTGATCGATCATTTGACTGAATACCATTGTTCGGTTGGAGATCCTCCACAGGGGTACCAACCGGTTACGATCTCCGGTGTACAACTGTAAGGAATGATATCTCAGGTATTACCAGGTACTGTTCTGTGAGTTGCGTTGCCAGAACAAGTAGCCCTAGTTATTACATAAAGTGCCACCCCAGGCTCGTCACAATGTAACTTCGGTTATAATGACTTGCCTTTAGGTGAGTTCTGATGGTGAACCATTAGTTCTACACGCAGAAAGTGAACGTTGTCAAGCATCTTTTGATGGTTGACAACGTTCTACAGAGGGTTATCATCTCATACACGTTTGTCATTGTTGATGTATGACAACCCTGGTCTCTAAGATTGAAGTGAGACGAAACTCTGTGTTGACTCCGTTAGGAGGTTGAAGTGCGCATCCAGAATGACAGTACGGGTGCGGTACAAAATCGGAATTAAAAAAGAAGATTGCCCGTGACCAATTCCACCTTGTTTGAATTAAAAGAGTATGAAAGGTCAGTGGGTGGAGTAGAGGCTAATTTAGAAACCCGCCTCTTGCTTTGCTTGACATTTCGTCTATTTACAACGTGGGAACCTCTGTTGTGAAACCTTACTCTGGAACCCCAGGAGTTGAACAACAGAATGGTAAAGAAATGGAGCGGGAAGAGCTCGAATAAGGTAGTGTCCAAGTCCGACAGAAGAGGATAACTTGGAGGT